ATGTTTCTTTAAGCAAGTGCAGCAGTTTTTCACAACTGGGTGCTAGAAACACTTGAACCCTGTCCACAGTAGTGCTTACGTCATTGCTAACACTGTATGCAGCTGCACAATTGGGGGAAGATTTACACAAAATATTTTAGGAAGAGATTTGTTAAAGGCTTCTCCTCAGTCATATTCCTTTTCTCCAAAAAATTATCTAAAGAAAATCTTGATATATTTGAAGTTTATATATAAAGTTTGGTTTATATATAAAGTTTGGTGTATAGCCACCTCTGGAAACACAAAAGCACTACCCTTTTCCTTAGCAAGGTATTTTTCCTTTCTTCTGTATACACGCTATTATTATAGGGTTGTCTATGCGAGATAAAAGCTACTGACTTTGTTTATTTAGACTATAAATGTGCACACATAGTAAGTCCTGTACCAAGGGGCTACAATTACCTGGATCTTGTTACAAAACCGCAATAAGGAGAAAAAGAAAAGAAACCATCACCAGTCTTGCCAGAATCCCTGTAAGTTATGAGACCATTCAGATACAAGTCTTACTGCATTTGACAAACATTACCATTGTGCTAATCTTTAAGAGCCCAACTAAATATTTCCCCTGGCTTCCTTATACCTCTAAGTCACTCCCCAAATGAATAATTACTCAAAATTGTAGGCAAGGAGATTTTCTGAGCATACAATACTAACAGAATCTGAGCAAATTCACTTCTTCTATGCCCTAACATTTTTACACCAACGTTTTTCTGATCTAACCTCTTTCCTAGAAGTCCAAAAAGATTTAATCATTCAGCCACAGCACTCACTCCTGCATGGCACATGCCCTAAAAAGCCATCTCAGCAGGTGCAGTAGCCCTTCACCTTTGGAGATCCTGCTGTAAATCCTGCTTTACGGTATCCCGCCAGAGCCTGAGTACACGTACCCCTCAAAGCCACTGTACAACATGGGACAATTAAGCAACTGTGTGTGGGAAATGCCCAGAACTGGAACTGTAGGGGTGTTGCAAGTCTGGATTAAAATACCATCAGCAGAGAACTGTATCTAGAAGCTTGGATCCTGAGCACAGGCCTTTGCCTAAAGAGCGTCTTTAGTCACCTAATTCTGTTATACTGTCTTATAGCATGTGCATGGAGTTAAAATGATTTTTCTTACAATTTAAGGCCCCAAAGTCTGCAAAGGCAATTCATGTGGAGGGAGCCTTGTACCTCTGCAGAGCTCTGCCCATGTCCACAGGTCTCCACAAGGGGTAGGGGTGACCAGACAGCAAATGTGAAAAATTGGGACAGGGGGTGGGGGGTAATAGGAGCCTATATAAGAAAAAGACCCTAAAATCGGGACATCTGGTCACCCTAACAAGGGCTCACCCAAGCAGACTAGCTTGCAGGGATTGGGTCTAGGATACTTTACGCTCCTAGAACTTAAATGCAGCTTTGAAAGCAGTTTTACAGTAAATTCTTAGTCATTCTGGGTATTTTGAAAAATAACTTAAAGCTGCTTCAAATATTTGAGCATCAGAATGCCACCATTAAACATGTGCAAAAAATCAATTTTCTTGGAAGACCTTTAAAGGCTGTTTTAACATGCAACCTAAAAACTTTAACTAACCCACATGTATCTGTGAAATGGGCATACAAGCTTTGTAACGTTCCAGGAGCTTTTGGCGAGTGTAAGAAACCCTCTACCACAAGTTGTTAAAGAACTTTTCTAGCTGTGACTGAAACCTACAAATGCTAGGAAATAGATTCAAGATGAAGCCCATCAGGGAGCTCTCTGCCATGAATTTGTCCATTTGGGTAGTTTAGGACAACCATGTTAGGAGAAAAAAGGTGTTTATTTTACAGTTAGTTAATAGGCAGCAAAAGAAACAATGCCCCAAGAGCAAAAGAGCGGAATAATATTGACAAGGCCTGTATTGTGTGAACTATAGGCAAGGCTGCCAAGCTCCAGAAAATGCCCCACTAGTCAATTTCACCGTTTAACACCTTAAGGAATACTCTGATTCTGAGTGGAACAGAATTCAGGTTGTTACAATATTATTTCCTTTCAACAACTAATTTTCCCCACAAGAATAAGTTGTGGAGTTTCTCTTCCCCCCCCCTCCAGAAAAACCCAGTAGTGTGGCAATTCAAGTGCTTAACACTGGTTGTACCTTTCTTGAAGCACATGTTCTCTCCCCCCCCCCCCCCCCAAAAACATAGTTTTCCCAACCTGATAACAGGACCAATACCAAAACATGCTGTCTTTTGTCCTTTAAAACCTGAAATATTAATGCAGAAGAGATGAAGGCAAGTCAAAAGACATTTATTGCAGATCTTGGGTATACTTTCAAGCCATTCTCACCAGAAGTACTGTATGTAGTCATATAGCTTTAGAGTTTAGGATAAATAGTGTAATTCACAAAGCTCTACATACATGATCTGCACAGAAATTAATATATGAAGTCTTATGTTCTGCTTACATCACAACCAACTGGATCAGCCTTCTGAATCACAAAATGTTTGTACTGCAAATTGAAAACGTGACAAGTGCTAAACTGTAGAGGATGGCTATTACCGAATACGGCCCAACAAGGCAGCATTATGAATCCTCACCTCCGCATGAAGGTGTAAGGAGATCAGCTTTAGGTCATGCAACAAGAAGTAAACTGAGGCAGCAAAACAGTCAGAACTTTGTTAAGACAAGTCATTCTTATACCATCCCATGGTTTCATAGACTAAAGCAGTTTGACTCCATGGAGATTTCTGTTGTGCACTATCAGGTTATGTCCTATATGCTTTTCCCCACTAAAAAAAAGTATTCCAAGCAGATACTGCAGAGCTGTCCATCTTCCAAAGATCAATAACTATGATGATTCATCATGTTAGACGGTACCAACTTTTGCAAAATGATGGCACACGCACTGATGAGAAACCAGATGTCATAGCTGGGAATGTAATTTAAAGTTTGCAAGGGAAGGCTGAAAAATTAAAAAGCCCTCATAAATGAGATATCCATTTAAAATTCTCAGTATTTTCTCCTGGTATGGGTTCCCTTCATGCTAAAACAGTTTATTTCTCCTGATGGAAGTAATATCTATTACAACGTGCAAGAAAATGCAAAGCGTTCAGCATTTCCAATCTTGGCCTAAAAAGAATGGTGGGAGGAAGAATGCACAATTTAAAAGGCAGTTGTTACTAAACTACAACTGAACCACACCCCCCCCCCCAGTAACTTTTGGGGGAAAGAGGGGCTGAAGTTACACCACAGAATCAGCATTGCAACATGCACGATTACCAGAAAGCTACTCGGAATTTCCTTTGGGCCAAGGATTTATTCCAAAAGGGGCCGGGGAGGGGGAAGGGGGGTTGTTTGTCCAGCATATTCACCCTCCCTTTCCCATCCTCCACACAGATTCAATGCTGGGAAGAGAGGGTTACACGCTCCAGTTTATTTCCAGCTCTGGAACTGCACAGAAATGAAGGACTGAGGCCTACATGTCACTGTGCCAGCAAAGCAAGGGAGACAGGAGTCAAGGGCCCAGCCGCATTAAGCTACAGAGGAATACGCACACGTGGGGAGGAGGGAGAGAGGAGGGAGAGAACTACCTTTCGCACACACGCAGGCCGCTGTGAGCACGGAGAACACGTGGGGGTTAAGGGGAATCCCCCCCCAAAAAAGGTGTAGCGTGCTCCGATCAATGGTGCACTGGATCAGACATATGAGAAGCAGGGTAGGGAATGGGGGATGGGCCAGGGCTGGCAGATCCCTTCCCCCCTCGCGCCCTCTCCAGCACAGCTTGTCTGTCACCCTCTAAGGCGTTGCAGATTCTTGCTGGGGCGCAAATCGGCGGGAGAGGGGGCGATTGGTACCGGGAAAGGGGGAGAAGGCCCCGCGGTGAGCCGGGGGGGGAGGGGGGGAGAGAGAATCACATGCTCGCAGCAGAAGAAACCACGTTGTCTTTACTGCTGCAGTGGAATGCCGGGAAGGGGAGGAAGCGCCGAGCGCAGCCACCCAGCCCCACACACGCTGCCCAGATCGAACGCTCAGTCCTCCGCCGTGGAACGTTCGCACCGCGGCCTGGAACGTTGCAACAGCGCCGTGGAACCTTCGGCCTGAAAGCCGCCCCCCCGCCCCAAAGCCGCATGGCCGGGCCGAGCCGAGCCGAGCCGCTCCGCCGGGGCTGGGCTCCGCTCCCCCTCCCCCGCGCACACATGCTCTCCGCCCTCATGGCTCCCACAGGCTGCAAGAAGCCTCCCCTTTCCCAGAGAGCCGGGGCTGCTCCAGAAATCCTAAATCCACGTTCCCCAGATGACCCCCCCCACCCCCTCCGCTTCCCCTCCAAACGTGCGTCCGGCTAGGATTAAAGCGGAGAGTGGCGGCCACATGACACGTTTAGTTCTCCCCACGCCGGGTTACAGCCAGCGCGTCCCCATATTCTTGGCAGCCTGGCAAACTTTGGCACTCGAGTCCAGACAGCTGGCGAGGGCATTGGGGGGGGGGGGCTCTTTCTTTTTCGGGTCCAGGCCAAATAGACTCATTCAGCATTTACAATATGGGAAATATGGCAACGCTGAAGGGGGGGGGAGGGAGGAGTGATCTATTCCGAACAAACCTTCTCCCCCCTTCCACACACACACAGACGAGGGCCCCCTTCTCAGCATTTTTATTATGTCCCTGGGTGGGGGTGGGGGGGGGGGGGGGAAAAAAAGGCCTTTCATAAAAAAAGGCAACTCCCGTGTGCCCTGGGCGAGCGCGTGTGAGACCGAGGCCTTGCGATCCCGCTTCCCTCCGGCTGCCCCCCAGCACCCCACCCTGGCTTACTCCCCCAGCTCGTGCACCGGGGTTGAGCGGGGACAGGACCCCGAGGCAGGGGGTAGATCCAACCGCGACGGAGCCAACTGGGGTGGGGTGGGGTTGGAGGAGGGGGGGGGAGAACAAAAACCCCAGAGTCACCGTACTGCAGACCAGAGATCCCTCCCCCCCCCGCACCCCGGCTCAGGGTCACCCCCGGACCCACCTGGGGGGGACTGTCCGTTGACGGCCACCACGGCCACGGGGGCGTTTTTAGTCCAAGGGTTCACCTTGGGCGGGGGGGCCTCGATGAATTCCTTGCGCCCGCCTCCTCCCTGCTCGCCGCCGTCCTCGCCGCCGCTGCCGCCCCCCGCCTCGCCCAGCAGCCGGTTCTCGCCCCCTCCGCGCTGCTGCAGCAGGTTCTCCTTCTCCTGGTGGTTGCTCTCCTCCTTCTGCTGCTTGATGCTGGGGGGCCTGGGCGCCGCGCTCCGCCGGGGCGGCTCCCCCGCCACGCCGCCGCCGCCCCCCTGGGGGCAGCCGTCCGGGGCGCCCCCGCGGCCCTCCTCGGCGGTGGCCTTCTCCCCGTGGGGCATGAGGGGCTCGCCCTTCTCCCGGGCCCCGTCCTGGGGCTTCTGGATGAGCAGCCCGCGCTCCTCGGCGGGCAGGAGGGGGTTGCCGGGCAGGAGAGCCTCCACCTGGGTCGCCATCTGCGGCCCCGGCCGGCCGCCTCCCCCCCGCTGCTGCTGCAGGCGCTCCCCCCGCCGGGCGGGGCCCCGCTCAGCCGCACGCAGCCCGGAGCAAGTGGGGGGGCTGCCTGCACCGGCTCCCCCTCCCGCGGCACCCCTCCAGCTGCAGCAATATGGAGAAGCACGGAGACCACGCGACTGGCACGGGAGCGCGCACCCCCCCCCCGTTCCTCGCTGCCTGCCTGCCGCCGCGCGCGCGCACGTTCCAGCGCCAGCTCCGCCTCGGCGGGTGGGGGCGCGCACGCCGAAAGGGGGGCGCGCACGCGCCTGATGCAATGCGCGGCGGCTGGAGCAGCGCCTTAAAGGGGCAGCGCCCGCGGGAGTGGGGAGGAGCCCAGGGGTGCGTCTCCAGCCCCCTGGCTGCGGGCCTGGGCTGCTCCAGCCTGGGTGCTTGCTCTCCTCCTGCACCCCAGCTCCCCTCTGGGCAGCCCCCGGCTGCTCCCCAGGATCTCCCCCTGGGGTGACCAGAGGTCCTGATTTTATAGGGACAGTCCCAATTTTGGGGTCTTTTTCTTATATAGGTTCCTATTACCCCCCGTCCCTGTCCCGATTTTTGCTGGTCACCCTCCCAGCCCCCCAAAGCTCCTGGTCCCTGCACGCCCCCACCCCTAGCTGTCTCCCTCTCCCCAGCCCGCCCCTTGGCATCGCACCGGGGGACACTTTTAGGGGCAGGAAGAAGGTCAGGACTGGGAAAGACAGCTCAGGCTTTGAATAGCTTGTCATCCTGCTTTAGTATTCTCCCTTGTCTACAGGTACATTCATTTTAGGAGGTGATGCTAATTATCAACTAATCTTCAGGATTTTCCATACCAGACATTTCAAACCACTGTATAATTTAACTGTTATTGGTGGTTGTCACCATGAGCCTTCCAAACTAACATGGTTTCCATCAGATTTAATGCAGTTCACGGGGAGGGGAAGTAGGACTTAAAACAAAAAAACCCATAAGAAATGGGATGGTGTGAGGGGCTGCCACAGCCAACAAGACCTGTCTAATACCGCAGTGATTCTCAGTAAAGGCATCCTATAATCACGACAAGCCTCATGTGATCCCATCTTCTATATTTAATAGATAAGGCAATGCTTTACTTCTCTACAGCACTACCTTTCATCTAGAAGAACTGGTATTTAATGTATCATAGGAGCTGTGCTCAGAGAGTCGAGGCACCCCTAGGAATATTGAAAGCACGACAAGTTGCAGCAACAATTTAGCTTCAAGGTAGTGGTGCATGGAAAGAAGGGAAGAGAGGAATTTTAAAGTTAGCTGTTAGGAAGAAAGGGGGAAATGAAAGAAAAGTAATGAAACAAAAATAGGAAAGAAAAGACATTAGACAAAGAGATGAACTTTGCACCTTATTTTGAAGGGCAATAAGGGTTAAAGTTCTAACAGACCCCCAGTGGGACTTTCAAATAGCCAAGAACCCTCCACTGAGAATGTCTTGCCTCCGGCTCTCAAGAGTACTTGTAACCCATTGGTCATTATGTCCCCTTCTGCACCCGATCCACAGAGCATGCAAGTCCATTACAGCCTCCAGCTCAGAACCTGGCTCTTAGCTCAAGCTGTAGAAACATGTGCTTTCAGCTCTGGAGGTCTCCAATTCAATTCTCCATGTGGTGTCTGCACAGAGAGACACCTAGGTACTGTTGTCAGGAGCCATTCAGATAGCATGGTGGCCCACAGGGCAAGAGAAGGGTCCTAGGGGTGCAATTGTCCGAGTGCACTGTGCTTCCACCATGCTAGGGCTTGATGTGGAAATAGGGCGGGACCCAGCTATGCTGGCTCTGTGCCAGCTGATAAGTCCCCCACACACACTGGGAGAATTCGCAGCTGGCCAAATCTAGATGATTTCTGACCCCTCTGTGCTGCCAAAGAGGCACAAAAGAATCAGAACCCAGAGGGGAGTCTGGTTTGTGGTCTCGAAGACAAATAGGGCATTATAGATTAAAACCAACAACTTCAATAGTGTCTAAAACCAAACCGGAAGCCATGCAGCGTGTGGGGAACGGGGATAACATGCTCATGTGGATCTGCTGCATTTTCCCCGCTAGCTAAAGGTTCCCAGTTATCTTAAGGGTCAGCCCTAAGTAAAGTTCACTGTAGCAGTACAACCTAGCGGTGCCAAAGTTGTGCATGACTGTGGTGAGGTCCACATCAGTAAGAAAAGGTGGCAACCTCCCAGCTAGGAAAAGAATGTGGGACCAACCACTGTCGCCATCTAGGAATCCAAGAGCACTCGGGTGGTTGGACAAGCAAGAGGCACAGAAGTGCCCCAAGATTGTGAGCATCTTTGGCACAGAGCGGGCAAACTCCAGCAAGAGATGGAGTCATTACAAGGCCCTGTCAATTTCTCTACTTGTGCTCCCCACCCCGATCATCATCACCTCTCTCTTATGTGGATGAAGTCTCAGCCAGTTCGTTCTTACTGAAGTCCTTGGCCAGGCACTGGAAAAGCAAGGAAACTGCAAAGTCTGGATCTGATGAAAAGGACACAGATGTGAGTGTCACCAGCACTGAAAATTTCTCAGTCTGCTCTAGCTGCTTCAAACAAACAATAAACGGGAGGGGGTGACAAAATGCAACCATATGGGGTCCCACATGAGAAAGCCACTGGGGCTGGGGGAAAGGGGAAATGAATCCTTACCCACCACCATCCTCAAGAACCTGACAAGTGACGCCTTCCTGCTGACCCCACATACAGATAGCTCACATGTAAAAACTTGACTGTCCAGGTAGAAGCGGCAGTCAAATTATAGCTACAAAATTGCAAGGAATACCTATAGCCACTGCAACTGATCCTATTTACCCTCCCTTAATTCCAGCCCCATCGTAGTCATCTGTCATGTCTATGCCACACCTAAGCTTGTCACTGTAACAATCGGTCTGCTCTGGACTGTACAGTCATAGAAACCCACCCTCAGGGGAAAGGGTGCCATTCGGATGTGACTATTTCCAGGGCGTGGTGCAAGTGATAGATAGGTATCTCAGGAGCTTGTTCTGTGTGTGCTAAAAGGAACGAGAATACTGCTGCCGCTATCACCGCCTCATTTCTGCTTATGTAATACTTACCTGTCAGTGTTTTTTGGGCACAGCTGTTTCTATATATAGTCTGCAAAACTAATGCCTGGATACCAAAAGATGATGTGTTTATGATTATGCTTTCAGGCCCAGAAAAGAAGGAGCGTGGAGACACACATACTGGGGTCCTTGCCCATAACTAGGGCTGTAGGCACTACAGTAATAACAAATAATAAATATAGGACAGACACACTCAAACATACATTATGCACAAAAACAGTATACAGAAACACACAACATTGTCATGCACACACACACACAAGTATGCACAATACTTGCACACATTTTATTTCAGTCTCTTCCTCCTTTAGTGTGATGTTCAGAAGATGGGAGGTTACCACCCCAGCAGCACCTCTATATTTTAAGCTGTCATTTCCATTGCAAACTTTGGTTTTCAGCGGGTTAGTTATTCAGCAGTTTTTTTTAATTTGGACTGAAATGTCTGGGAGTTTCTATGGTAAGAGTATAAAAATCTGAAAACATTTAGCCTACGTTTTGCCCTGTACAACCTGTGTCTATTTACATAGAGTATATTATTTACAGAGCACTGTCTGTGTCTAAGTTATTGGCATTTAGGTCTTTTACCTGCCTGTTCTAGTGCTTACATTAATAGGAGGAGATGGTCTATGATAAATTGTATTGCTGTAACCCATATGGACCAGCCAAACAGCTGCTCTCGTCTTCATGGTTCTGCGAGTGATCACCTTTGAGTCCCTGCAAAGCAGCTTTATGAGACTGCTCCAAGAAAAACTTAAATAAGGTTTGTTTACATTTAAAGTAAATGTTGGTGAGGCTTTGTAAGAACAAACATGATGGAATGGCGGCGGGAGAGAGAGGGGCTAACATTGTAATGCTCAACAGCCATCACTGAGATGGGGAACGTACCATCAATACCACTGAAATGCACTGGACTCACCACGTGGAGTGGAAATGTGAAGCTTGAAGAACTAGCAGTTGGGCTTTCTTTGCTGTATTTCAGCACTGAATGCACATGGAAGGGCAGCATTCCCGCTGAAGTGTCCTGCTTTAGAGAAAAGCAACAGAGAGTCCTGTGGCACCTTTAAGACTAACAGATGTATTGGAGCATAAGCTTTCGTGGGTGAATGCAGAGGCATCCGACGAAGTGGGCATTCACCCACGAAAACTTATGCTCCAATACATCTGTTAGTCTTAAAGGTGCCACAGGACTCTCTGTTGCTTTTTACAGATCCAGACTAACACGGCTCCCCCTCTGATACTTGACTGCTTTAGAGAGTTTATCTGCCAATTTCATTGACATTCTTAGGGCCAAATTTGCAAACAGTGGTGCTCAAGTGGCACATTCAGAACCCGTGATAGTGCTCTCAGTTACCTGTTATCATGTGTGAGTTAATGCAATTTTGGTACTAATATTTCAGAATTTGGCCTTAAGGATGAACTGTAAAGCAATGAAAAATGAAGGCTAGATTTAAGTACTAAATGACTCCATTAACCAGGCTGTGTGGGCCATTCAGCACACAGGCATGTTTTATCTAATTTTTTTAAAACACTTTTTCCCTCTCTGAGATTTTCTTGGTCCTTCTTGAGTCCCTGAGGGTTTCCCAGATCTGCGAGGTCACAGTATGATGCAGCCTCATGGATTGCCATGAGACTTCTGGTAGTATGTGTCACATTCTGGGATAGCTTTAAGAAACCAGGAAGTAAATCACAAAAGGGAAAAAGGAATTTTATATAAGTTAGTTACAACTAGATAGACAGGCCCAGGCAAATTTTGGAGTATCCAATCTGAGCTTCTCCCAAGGTTCAAGGATGTTCATATATGGGATTTGGTTTGCCCCACTTCTGGCTAAAAAGAAAACAATTCTCATTTTTACTGTGCAGGTCATCTGAATTCTTGAGAGCCTAGTCTGGCATGCTATGCAATTCC